ATTATTACATGAGACTTTAGTTTTAGAAGATCAATTTTAGGTACTGAAACTAATATAACAATTAATATACAAAAATATTGTTAAATTATTATTAAATTATTTGTTAAATTATAAGCAATTTAATTTTAAACAATTAAAAACTTCGCAAATTAAAAATTAAATAGGTAAACTGTGTAACGTTAATATGATATTGTAATATCATTTAATTTTATTAATCATTAGCCAATTAATTAATTCATGCCATGAAAATTTTAAAGATTGATACTCATTTCAGATGCATATAATAATTATTTTAAAATTTCAGAATTATTTTGAACTATTAAATTATTATTATTTAGAATATAATATAATATTCGCGTCCAGCGTTATTTTTATCGATTATTGATTATTAATAACTAAAAACAAGATTGAAAATATATAAATCTTTTTATTCTTATTCTTAATCTTATTCTGGATTAAAAAAATCATCTTTAAATTTTTGGATATTTGTAATTGAATATTTGGTACATAATAGTTAAATAGTTAAATAATGATGAACAATAATAATCTTCACAGCTCTATGTTTTAAATATTATTCCAGTATTTTCTGAAATAAAAGAAGAGTATTTAGATAAATCTAATTGTAAATAATTGCAAATAAATCATTATTTGTATAAATATATTATGTAAAAGTTAATTTTTTCTTTGTATAAATAACATTCATATAAATAACATGCATATATTATTTTTTTTTATTTGATTTTACATGCATATATATATTATTTTGATTTGAAAAGATAAATGCACTTAAAATTTTTTCTGTATTACCTTTTTCATAGTATTTTTTTAATATATTCTACTTATTTCAACATAGTTACAAAAACTCATTCCAGTTTGCAGAAAATATTATGAAAATAATGTATATCTTATATAAATATTTCAATATTGTACAATACATAATGTAATGAAATTTTTTCTTTTTATTTTATACGGTTTTTTTTTATATTTTTTTTGGCATAATATTCATATTTTCATATTAATCATATTTTATATTTCAAATGTACAAAATAATAAATACAATCAGTGACAGAAATTCTTATACATTACCTTACAAGAAAAATTAATTTTAATGTATGCAGAATGTAATTTTAATATATTGAAAAAGCAAGCCAAAATAAACATATAAGTTGATAAAAAATAAATCAGTTGTCAGATTATTTAAGTAATAAATAATTTAAGTGTTAAAAGAAAGAGGACAAAAATATAATGAAATCGTTCATTATCACTATGTATTCTGTTTCTGCCTCGCTTCATTTGATATGCAAAAATTACAATTTAATAAATAAGTTTCAATCGATATTTTATCAAGTTTATTATATGTTTATTTTATTTTAGTTATGTTTATTTTAGTCTCTAGAATTAATTTACCAAAAATGTTCTAGAAATAATTAACATTTTGTACATTTATAATTTTATAATATAAAATAAAAAATAGATAATATAATTATATGAAATATGAAACAAAATTATTTTTTTAATTAGTTTTAATAATGCAATTTATTAATTGAATTCATAAAATGCATGCAAATTTTTATAATTATATTGATTGCGTAATATGATTCTTTATCGAATTATATAACTAAATTAATAATTCATTACAATGTCTCGAAAGAATAGAGAAAAGAATTTTCTGTTCAGAAATGCGCTTATGTGAATTTTCGACGTATATCAATTATTCATTTTATTTTTTGCTTCAATTTTTTTATAAATTTACACATTCTTATTCCACATAAATATAACTATATAATAATATATATAAATATATTATATAAATATATTATTATAATATATATTATTATAATATATAAATAATAATATATAATAATATAATAATTAGAAGAATTCACGATTTGTTTTTGCCGTTTAACGAGACCTTGAGTGTTTCTATCGCAAAAATTATATAAAAGTTATCGCTTGAAATTATCATATCGCTTGAAATAGTAATAATTTTTTGACGCATCTTAAGAATATTTTTTATGAAAATAATATTTTTTAATTAACCAAGTTTATAAGAGATTTTATGGAAACATATAAATACCTTATGAAATGTAAATTCGCTCTTGTTTGAGGACTTACGGAAAAAGACGGAAATTACATATTCGCTCGGTTGAACAACAAAAGTGAAATTTTACAATCTGTTATTTTCAATGGCAGTTTAAGATCTTGATTTTTTTCCTATTATCAAATCTGGGCATGCCTGATCTGAAAAGACATTATTTGAAATATTATTTGAAATAATAAATTTGTGTTGTAATTATTTGAAATATTTTTAGTGGCTACAAAATATTAACATATATTATTTTTCAATAAAACGTTTTTTATCATGTTCTTCATTTCATTTGCATATAAAAATCATATATCCTTATATTTATATATGAAAATATTATTAAATAATAATGTATTTTGATTTAATTAATTAAAATATCAAAGCTATAATAAATAAAAAAATGTGCAAATATTTTTTTTAATTATTGCACAAAATAATTATTTTTAATAATTTAAAGTAGAATCTTCTATTTGGACATATTTTCTTTGAAATAAAAATAAATAAAAAGAATAATATAAAAATAATTATTTTAAAAAGAATAAAAAATAAATTTATTTAAAATAAAAATTTCCAAATAAATTCTAAAATCTTACCTGAAAAATAATTTTATTCAGATATCTCTTGATATCTCTTAATTGATAGAATTCAAAATAAAATATGATTGGCATATAGTTTCTTTCATTTTATGTATCATATTTCACAGTATCGTTGAATTTTATGCAATCTAGTTGCACAACTGTCAGCAGATCGGTATGTTTCATTCAAGAATAATGAATTTGAAATCGATATGCATAATCTTAATAATAAATGCATAATATTAATTAACTAATTAATTAATATAAATTATAATATTAATTCATAACGAATGATAAATCAATTAATTTTTTATTTAAAAATACTACAATATAATTTGATCAAATTTTTTCGCAAAAAAAAACAAAAGCCATAAAATCAATATTAAAATATTGAATAACATTAAATATTAAATATATTGAATATAAAAATTTATGAAAAGGAACAATTCAAATATATTTAATTTTTAAATAAAATATATCTATGAATGAGCAATCAATTTATTAATTTATTTATTTGCATATATAATCATCATAATTAGATCAAAATAATTTTTATTTAAATAATCATTTAAATAGTTTTTTTATTTATTATATTATTTTATTTTAAATAATATTTAAAATATAATATAATGAAAATATAATGTATTTTGAAAATAAATTATTTTAATATTTATTATTTTATTTAAATACTTACATATTCATTATTTGATTGCAATTATGAAAATAAAAATATATTTTCTTGCGATAAAATAATTTTTTTTTATGAATAGAATTTTTATTTTCAAAAGCCATTCTTCTTTTGTCTAGTAAGTAGTGTACGTTTTGTATTTTTTAACTTATACCTAACCTATTTCCTTTTATACTTTTTACATACTTCTCGATGTATTTGATGAAATCTGTATTTCTAGTGTAAAAAAAAGCTTTATTATTTGTTAAATATCTTTCTTTTTTTAATATTTAAAATAATCTAATATTTGATGAATAAATTATTTGAAAATAATTTATATCTTAATATCTCATTTATTTTTTTTATTTGAAATAATGATTTTAATTATTATTAGTTAATTAATTTCTTATTCGTTAATATTAATACGATTATTGATTAGTTTTTTAATATAATGTAAAAATTGTTTTTTAATCAAAGAAAAAAGTGTAACGAAACTTATTAAAGTTTGATTAACGATATATCCGGATGGAATCGAGAGTCAAGAAAGTCTCTTTTTAATGAGAATCTTTTTTCTTTTTAGAAATCTTTTTCTCGTATACATACCGATACAGTTGTAATTCAATAAATAACAAGATGAAGTAGAGCAACAAATATATGTAATAAAACTTGATCAGTGCAAACAAGTTCTAATTTAATTAAGCAACATACTTGAAAAACTTTTTCTCCGATGCAAAGGAAGTTGAAGTTGTTTCTTAAATATTGACATAAATTTTCCATTACTGAAAGTAGTTTGTCAAGTATAAGATTGATAGTTTGTCTACCATTGCTCAAATTACTATCAAAAGGAAATACTTATAACTATTTACTATTTTTTGTATTTTACATTGAAGATATGTTGGCAGCATTGGATAACATTGACACAATCAATGTTATGTTGATAATTATAAATTAGAATATAGATTTTAATTATGAATTAAAAATTTTTTAATATGATGCAAATAATTAAATAAAATTGTAAATATTAATAATTAATTATTTTATTTTAATTATGTGATATATTAATTATATGATATTAATTATATCGATAAATTAATTAATATAAAAATAAATTAATTATTCAAAAAAATAAATAAAAGTAAAAATAGAAAAGGAATAAATTTAAATGGATAAGAAATCTGGGTAAATAATAAAATAAATAAAATAAATCTAGATTAGTAATTTTAATTTAATACTATTTGTATTAAATTAAAATTGATGTGTCAATGTTATTTTCATTAGAAAGTAACATTGATAATTAATTAATTAATATATATATGATAAATAATTAATTAATATATATTATAAGACAGGAAAAGAATAGTAATTTTATATATTATACTTCTAATAATGATCAAGGATATAATGTTAAATTTAATAAAATTTAAAATTAATTACATTTTAAATAAATGTAAATGTTTTCGTTTTATTGTAAATTAAAAATATTATTTCTTATTTATTTTTATGATATTATATTACAATTGTTATATTTGTATTTATATTTATTTTATATTATATTTTTTTTTTGATATTTTATATTTCTTAATATAATATTTAATTAAAAATATTTCAAAATATTTTTTTTTGTATAATATATAATACCCAAAATAATCTTTGTATTCGATTGAATATAAATATAGTATATTTATCTTTTATATAACATTATTGCTAAGAATAATAAAGTTGCATTTTTTTTAAAAAGCTTTAAAAAAAAGCTTTAAAAAGCTTCGTTTTTTAATTATTGATAATTAAAAATCAATAAAATAAAAATATATGCAGGCATTTTTTTTATGAAATAAGTTGCTGTTTGTATATTATTGCGTTTGAAAATCACTACTTAACCTATATTTATTTTTTATTTTTCTTATTTTATTTTCAAAAATCAACTCTTAAATTTTTAAACACCTATAATCAAATATAAACAAAATAAACAATATACAAATACAAGTAGAGTCATTACTCGAATAAGACAAGACAATTCAAATAATTGTTAAAATATATGAATAAATAACTTCACAAAAGAAATTCACTAGCATCTCTCACTAGTATATTGTTTTTGATATAGTTTTGATAAAGATATTAATATTTAAAAAATTAAAGTATATTATTTTGATTCTTCAAAAAATGTTTTCTATTCTATATTTAAATCAAAATTTTTTAATCAAAATTGTAATGCGAGATTATTATCTTAATTTTGATGATTAGTTGATGATAGTTGATAATAATCAGTGTTAATTAATGAAAAATAGCTGATTATTTTTTTAATCGTTTGAAGAAACTTGCAAGATTAAAGGTTTTAAATAAAAATTAGTTATTTTTATAATTAATTAATTTTTATTAATTATTTTTTTTTAAATATAAATGTTTTCTTTAATGATTTCTATTATTATTACATATTTTTTTATATTATTATTAAAAACGTTCTGGAATTGAAATTATATATTATATACTTATAAGTTTCTCAATGAATTGCAAAATGCAAACATATCATTGGCCTATAAAAATACACATTCGTATAACTGAAACTACGCTCATTAAACATTAACTCGTTCGTATAAACGAGGTTCTACTATACCTAGTTACATAAAATTATAAATATAATAAAAAAAAATATTTATTATAAGGTGCTATTAAATTTTTAAACACGTTTTTTCGAAAACATAAAGTTTTTAATATTTATGTAGAAAGTCATTAATATATAAATTGTAATTATTTAATGTTATTCTGTTATGATACTTTCTTTAACACATTTAAATTAATAGAATTAAAATAAAATGATCAGAAAATTTATTAAACATTAATGAAAATTTGCCAAAAAATGCAAATATATATGTAGCGAAAAAAGTTTTGTTGAAAAATACATACAATAACATTGTCTATATGCGTTCTATCGTCAATGCTGTTAATTGTCCAAAACGTGGACACATGCATGAGACCATACATGTTATCAGTCGTAACCCACAGTTTCCTCGTTGAACGTTAAGGTTTACTACGTATAACGGTGTAATACGGTAAAATGTCTATCGAAAAAAACTCTTTCATTACTTTCTAAAATTTTGTCCTATTTTATTCGAAATATTAGATAAATAAATATAAATCCTTCAATTGTTTTCGTTCGAAATAATTATACATTTAGTGACGCATAATAGTTACATAAATCACATATTTAAATAAAAGATCAAAAAATATGTCTATGAAAATATCACTCGCGCATGATTCACACGCTTAGACACGTGGATCTTTTCCAAGAATGATGAATCAAATCTGGAAGAAATCGGATGAGTATCATCAAAATAATAGTTTTATTCATGTGTATTTAAATATTCCTTTTTCCATCGTTTATGGAATTAGAATTAAAAATTCTTCGTTGTTTGGGGCATTCGATGTTAGTATGCATTAAACGTAAGTCGTGCACTGCCAGCTACCGGCGGACTAGGCAGTGTCGTCGTAAGTTGGAGAGGGGCACGTAGATAGCACGTTACTCGTTCTTCGTTCTATGCAGTCGCGTGTAATATACGTTTGTCGTTCATCGGTAGTTGACGAGCGCGCTTGAAGTTGTTACTTTGGTTTGCGAAGGACATTACCGATTAGTCGTCCTTTCTCGGTTTACTTGTCGTTTTTTTCGATACAGCTCGTAAATGCTATCTAATTTAACCTAACATCATCAAACTTGTCTCACATCATGATACTGGCTCTTGGTCGAGTGAGTATTTCAAAAATTCGTCGAATATCGATCGAATTGCAAATTCGATACAAGATCGACGTCATAACTGCGAAAAAAAAAAGGAAGAGCAGACGGTGATTTTAAAAAGAAACGTTACATAGTTAGGATATGTGATGTTGAAAAGAAGCACAATCGTTGATATAGATAACGTTATTTATAACAGTTTTTCGCTAAAAACAGTGAACTTAACTTAAGATAAATGTTAATTCAGTTGATATTAGCCATATGCCATTTTTCTGGTGCATTCGATATATATGTTTCCTCCAACAGGTGCTTTATCCCGATACGGTTGAAAAACTACGCAAGTGCAACGAGTAAAGAGAGAAAAAAAAAAAAAAATTGAAGCGTAGTGGTTTCATTCGACTCAATGTGTACCTATATATATGTACTTCTCTGCATTAGGAATCCATTTTTTTCGAATGGATAAAAATGAGCGTAAAAAGCACAAGTGTTTTCTACTCGCATTAACATACCACATTTTTCGTATTCCTCTAACACAAGAATCGTATGGCAGATGAATATAATATAAAAATATGAATATGAAAAATGCAAATATGAATAATTTTCTTGTTTTTCATACGTCAATTATAGTGCTTTGAAAATGTGAAATATTTCAATTTATATATATAATATAAAATATAAATTAGAAAAATTAAAAATTGAAATAACGAAACAGATTTCAGTATATCTGTAGTAAGTTTGAACATTTGCAGTGAATGGTGGACAATGAATTTTTTGGCCCATGGGGCCAAATACTCATCATAGTTGTGATAGCATTGATCGTCATTGTTATCTTGCTCGTGATCGCCTGTTATCTAATACCAGGATGCCATGGATACGAATACATTAGGAAACGAAGTAAGTTTTATTATATATGATGAATTATTAAATTATACATTGAATAAACTTGTTAATTTATTGAAGATATTAATTTAATACCATATATAATTCGTTGCAAACTAATTGATCATTGTTATTAATAAATAGTGCTTCTATTTATTTGCAAATTGTTACAAAAATATAATTAGATCATTTATGTATATGAATATTATTTAATTCATTATAAATCATTTATTATGAAATTAATATTAATCTATTTTTTTATATTGAAATATTTAAGATTTTTTTTTAAGATTAGTTTTATTGATTTTATTTTTATTGATTCAAATTCATATTAGAAATGGGACATAAAACTTTATCTAATCTTTAACTAATTAAGTTTTGAAATTCTTCAAAATTTAAAAAGTTCTTGAACTTCAAATCTTTTCGCAATTTTTGTAATTCAATATACTCGAAAGATGAAAAATAAGTTAGATAGGATTTTCTAATCTGAAAAAGATTCATTTGTAATAATTTTAAGAAAATTAGCATAATTTGTTAAATACGTATAATAATTCAAAAATAATCATGTGAATCTATTCTTTTATTAGGTTCTCAGTTTTATTCTAATTTTCTTATTTTAAATTTTTTGTAATTTTATTATAGTCAAAGAAAATACTTCTTTTTAAAAATCATTTGAAAAGCGTTTAACATAAACGCTATACAAGTTTTAATTTCCAATGCGAGAAAATTCTGTTGTTTGCAATCATTCAGTTGAATTCCAACGGCTTAAAGTGTGTCATTTGTTACAAATCCCTCCAAATATAGAGCGAAATTCTACGTGGTGGTAACCTTTGTCCTACTCGTAACACAAGAATTCTTTTAACGCGATATTATTTATGATTTATCGATATCATTAAATTGGAAATATTTCAGTTAATAGTATTATAATTACTAATTCAATTGTTAACATTTCCAAAACTCTATCAATTTGATTAATTACCAAAATGATATTGAATAGTAACAAATATTTTATTTGGGATTCAAATAAAAAAATAAGTAATTAAATTAAAAATTTATATAAATACTTTAATTTTGTTAATTCATTTATATCATTTTTTTCATAATCATTTTTTGTATGATGAATATATTCATCATTATTCTAGAAATGATTATTTTCTCGATAATGAGATAAATTTTTAAAAATTTAATAAGTAAGTCTCAATTGATATTTTTATTTAACTACTAAATTTTGTGTTTTTTTTTTTTATTTTTAGAATATATTTCAACCTTTCATAGATATTCCACCAATATATTAATATTCTGATTGTATCTAATAAATTATTATATCAATATTAGATTAAGATCAATATTAAATTATATCTATATTAGATCTCTTTTTGAAAGAAACGACAGTCTACATTTTACATCTTCTTTAATTGTAAAATTAAAATTAATCGAGCAGAATATGATTATATTTGATATTATTAATTTATTAAATTAATTTAATTTAATTAAATGAAAATCACTCATGATATACATATGTAATTAATATATATATGTATAATTAATATAATAATATATAAATATAAAAGAATAATTAATAATTAATTTTTCATAAATTTTAATGCAAAAAATACTTTCAAATTAATCAAAAACTTTTAATTCACTAAATGTTTATTAAATAGACTGTTTCATTAGCTATTTAAATTTATGTAAGGCAATTGGTACTACTCGTCTTTGTGTTGATTAAACGCGTCTGGCAACTAAGCTAAATAGTAATATTTAATTTTCTCGACACGTTTAAGAACTCTACTTCCGTGCACACGTGCTTGTAGATGAAACGCGTGCCGAGAAAAAATAATTTTGTCTATATATATACACTTTTGATATCTTTCGAGCCCTTTGATACGCATGCGCTCTTTAATATCTTGATAATCGCTCGGTTTACCGGATGCTCGCGTTTGTCCACTCGCGGAACGATGCTTGATGCGTTACGATTACTATGTAGAACAGTGATTTTTCACACGCGTTTAGACATAAAAAACTAAAATGATAAAAATGCGGGAATTATTCAAAAAACTATTCTTTTCTTGTGTGCATATCGGTGATTATTAAAGTGCGTCTATATTTAAATGGATCTATTTATTTAATAACTATTCTGGAATTGTCGAGATTAGGATAAAAAAAACGTATATTCTATACACATTGAATAAACAGTTTATTTAATGAATATTTAGCGATGATTTTAAAGTTGAAAACACTTTGTAGATATTTTTTAATTGTTTTTGTATTAAGATTTATAAAGAATTGATATTATTAAAAATTATTATTTTTCTATATTAATTATTATTTTTATGGATAAATTATTAAAAAATGAAATAATATTAATCGAAATATAAAAAAAACTTTATTGCATTATAATAAATTTTTTATAATATGAAACTTAATATTTTTAGTACTAATATAATGAAATCTTTATTTGATTATATTCTAATTATTGTTTTTTAGCATTTTCTATAATAAAAATGAATAAATTACATTGTTTCACGAATTTAATATAATATAATATAATATTTTCAAATATCTTTTATATTTTGATATATTATTTTAATGATTTATTTAGATAAATAAAAGTTTTATCTGAGAAATATCATAATTTAATTATATATCTCTTTTCTATTTTTTTAAAAATTCATTGATTGTTCAATTAATGAAAAAAAAACTACTGTAACTGGGTCATTTTACTTATTATATTGAAATCAAAATTACTAATATTAAATTTATAAATTATTTATGGTTTTTACATATATGTATGTTACCTACTTGCAATATTAATCGCTAAAATTATGTTTACATTAATAAATTTGTGAAAATTTAATTTGTGCAAATAAACTAAGTCTAAATAAGAAATTTAAATAAGAAATTGCATTGCTCCATTGTTTATTTTTATCTCTCTTAGATATATAACAATAATAACAAAATTATAATTAAAATTATAATAATATATAAATTATAATTATAATATACAAATCACTGTATAACCTCGTATCAAATAACGATAAACAACAGTAATATAACATGAAGATATGTATATTTTAAATATTTTAATTATTTACATTAGAGCACAATTTTTTTCATCTGAAACAATATTTATACAACGAAAAGCTGTGCCTTCTCTGAAAGGAAGGAAACTTAAATTCCTGCATCGTGAATCGTGCATATACGTAGTTGATACATTACGCCATTGTTCGCACAGTTATATTTATACACACGTGCAAACGATGTTTCCTTCGTTTCCTCCACGATATTACGTAATTAGGTATGTCATCCTGCAAACTAACTGCATATAACTTTCCGAGCATCTATGGAAACGTCCATCCACACAGCATCAAAAAATTATCTTCTTAAAAAATTTCAAATGTTTATGCACAATAAATGTGCAAAAAGCATAACATAATATATCAATATTAAAGTTTTAATGATTATATTATAATATCGATATATTATTGATATTTTTTGATATATCGATAATATCGTTAATGATAATTTGAATATATTGAAGATCAATGAAATATCGATTCAATGAAATCGATCTTTATCTTATAATTCATTTCTTATCGATATTTTAATCGATATATTATCGACAATAATCATCGACAACATGAATTATCGACAACATATCAATATTATAGATATTTATCGATAATAATATCGATAATCATAATTCTTATTTATGGATAAAAAAGTATTATTTATTATATTATTTATTATAAAAGTATTATAAGTAATATTAGCTATAATTATAATTAATATATAATATTATCTCAGTCATCATTAATAATAATATATGTATAATTATTATGATATTATAATACAATTACAATGAATTATAATTACAATAAATGAATATTTTTTCGAAATTCAATGATGCATTGATGATAGTGAAAATTAATTTACACATAAAAATTTGCATGTTACATGATATTATTATATATTTTTTTCGTATTTTATTCTTGTAAATTTAATGATAAATACTTTGTTCATTATTTTCATTATTTAATTATTATGTTTTTATATATACAATTTTTATTAAAGTCAGAATAATGAATTTCCTTACGCAATAATACAACTTAAATAATTGACTTCCATGTATCTTCCAACTGAATCTTTCATGTATAATCATTATTATGATTATTTTTATTATTTGAAAGTTATATAAATCTGATTTACTATAATATTATTATATTATATTATAATTTTATAATATTTATAATAATATTATAAATTTTTTATCTTTTTACTTCTTGTGCGAGATGTAAATTTATATAATGTAAAATAATATAACATTGATGACAATATAAAAATAACAATTTTTAAAGTAGAACAAAGAAAATGATTTTTAACTCATATTTTTGATAAAATGAATATAGAAGATAAAAAAATCTATTTATAATGATTTTTTGAAAATATTTAAAAATTGAGAATGAAATATGGGTGTCTATCATCATAAGATGTTTTATACGTAATAATAATATTTTAATTGTTAGAATTGTAGAAATTAGATCATAATATATTTAAATAATGTATAGTACATTAATTACTAAAATATAAGATAATTAATTTTTAGAAATTGCATAATCAAAGCCAAGAACAATTTTTTGCAGAAAGAGAAGCAAAAAGTGTGCCATTATGTTTGAAAGGCAAACAAAATGAAAATGTGAAGTTGAATGATGTCAGCTATAGATCTTGGAGATTGGGCAGTCTCTACGAAGGCAGCAGCAATGGTAAAATTATATAAAATAGTAAAATTATATTTTATATAATATTGTTAAAAGTTTTGGTATATACATACTAATATATTAAATATTTTCAAATTTTCATTTTTTTATCAAAATAAAAAATGCCTTGTTAATTGTCGCACTGTTTATTCATTTCATCAACTATCGTAGATTTATATCCAGCAATTGGAACTTCAAGTTTTTGAGACATACATATTTCTTTGAACTTTTAAAATTTCCGAGCATTAAATAGCATCATAATAAATTATTTTATTTTTTATATTGTTTCTAATTATTTTCTTTCTTTGATCGAAACATTTTTATTAAAATATATTAATTTCTATTTTTCATATAACATATAAGTAAAATCATAAAAAATGCAATTGGGCATTATAGTTATATTCAATATATGTATGATAAATATGTAAAATAGTATTATAACAGGCAAATAAAATAACCGAAATCTTAATATAAGAATTTTTATATTTATAGTTTTATTGATAAGTATTAATTAAAATTTGACTCATAATTTTAGTATAAAATTAAAAATAAAAAAAAAACAAAATTAAAATTATTGCAATTAATTGATCAATTTAATTGATTGTTATTAATAATTCTTTCATTTGTATTTTATTAATAGTTCTATTAATATATATGTATAATATATATATTATATATATAATTTTATAAATATATATATAAATATTATAAATATATATTATAAATATATATATTATAAAAATATATATATTTATAATATATATTATACATTATATACATTATATGTATAATATTTTATACATTTGAAACTTAACTATAAGAAAATAAATAAACTTAACTATAAGTAAATATTTAAATTTAATATTAAATTAAAAACAAAACACATAATTTGTTTGTTTATAATAGAATAATTGATAAAATAATATTGAATTTTTAAATTGACATAAAATAAGTATAAATATTGTTCAACAATATGTTTAGTCACTTATCTTCGAATTAGTTTTACAAATTTATAAAATTGTTTATTTCATATGCAGTGATCTAATATGATGTAAAATGCAAATATTTTTTGTAGTTATATATTTATAGTTATACATATTATTATGTTATTATAGTTATATGTTATAATTATAGTTATAATTATAGCTTATAATTCCATTTCAAAAATCTATTTTCTTTAATCCTAATCTTAATTATCATTATTTACTTCCAATATCACTAATTAATTATCACTTACTAATTTGAAAATAACTAATATGACATTTATTTCATGATATTAATAAATATTACACAGGTACAATCGATGAGAATGCAAGTCCAAACGAGAATTCCTATAATTCCAGCAACGCTCAGTTTGGTTTCACTGATACCTCGTCCACCCTGGTAAGTGCCGTTACCCGTGCTAAATTTCATTTTAATTACGTGAGCTCCCTCGTTAACTTATTCAAGTGTGACACATTACAGAACTTGGTGCAGAAGGATAAGCAAAAAGCCGAGAAAAAACAAAAAGAATTCCCCACTGAATTGACAATAAGCTTACAGTATCTGCCGCCTTACGATGAGACTATTACCGGAAAACTCGTTATCGGTGTCGAGGTATTATTTTTGATCTGATCGTTATTTTATATTATTTCAGAATGAAAATCGAATTATGAATCTCTAATGAATCGATTACTGTAAAGATTTCTTACAATTTATAATGATAATATGGAATATATATATATATATATATATAAATAAAAATATGTATGTGTGGTAAAAGCATCAACTCATTGTCATTAAATGTATACATTTATTAGTTAATATATATACACTAATTTAATGTAAGTATATTCATAATTAATCAAATGTAAACTTTGATTAATGAATACATATATTTTTAGATCTGATTTAAAATAATAAAAATATACGTAAAATAAAATGCCATGATATGATTGGCTGATGTATTGCGTATATTTTGTTCCTTCAATTAAGTGTGATGTATGTTGACATATATATACATAACGAACAATCATTGTAATTATCATTATATATGTATATAATGATAATATATATAATATTATATATATATAATATAATGATAATTACAATGATTGTTCGTTCGATTCGAATTGATTCAATATTGGAAGGAAAATAACTTATTAAAGTAATAATGTTGATTATCAGGAAAAAATCTATTAAAAATAATTCAGTAACTTAAAGATATTATTTAGATTTGTTTTAATTTTAATTGATATTTTTAATCTGTTCAAAAAAACTTATGCATTGTATATGTAAATATATATTTATTAGGAATAGTAAATATTTTTATATTGAGTTAATATTTTTACTAAAATTTTAGATAAATGATTATTAGATAAATGAATATCGAATAGTATATATATAACTATACATTTATTATATTTTAAATCTTTATTATAACATATATAGTGTTCCAAAAATGTACATAATTTAACTGCAGATTCAGACGTGAAGTAATTTCAATCAATTTTTTTCTTTGCAAAAATTGTTATATAAGAACTGATTATTACTGTCTTTTATGTATTAATAAGATATAGCATTATTGAATTGAAAATATTTATCCTTATATTTTTTTACTAAACTCAAACTTAAGAATTCAATGATGTACAGGCATTATCCGGTCTTCCTCCAAAGCAATACAATTGCACGTTAGAGCCATACGTGACACTAAACATTGCGAAGCAATCGTGGAATCATAGGAAACGACAAAGGTTACATAGTTTTCGAACAAGGAGTATTAAGCATACAGCGAGTCCCATTTTTAAAGAGGCGTTCGGTGTAGCGAACGTAAGTCCTCAGGAAGTTAAGGTATATATAATTTTGTACTAAATTTATTTTATTATTATTGTATTTAACTATCTACACAAGATTTTCATAGTTTATATACAGAAATATTGTATGTGCTTTTTGGATATATTTTTGATCAAAACGAATTTTAAAATTCAATATTTCCTCATTAAATGAATTTTGAATTGTATATAAATTGTTTTGTTAATTAATAATTAATAAATTGTTAATTACCAACTGGATATTGCTGAATGATTATTCTGTATATTAAAAATTATAAAAAATATATTATAATATATAGGGTATTAATATATTTTGTGAAATATCTTTAAAAAGTTAATATATTTATGAAATATCTTTAGAAAGTTGATTTTAAAGATTTTATAAACATAAGAAATTCATATAAAAATATCATTTATATTTAGTTTTATATATATATAATATAAATTAAAATTATTTAATCAGTAATATTGTTATATATTTGTTATTTGCAAAATTATAATAATAATTCAATAATAATATTTATTTTTAGAAAGTGAACATATTATATTTAATCAAAAAAATATAATATTTATTTATAAATCAATGAAAATAACTAAATAGCAATTATTACATTTGAAAATATAAATCAAATAAATGAAAAATCATATAAAATAGAATAAGCATTTTTAATATGTTTTTTTTAAAAGTATTTTTAATTATGTTTATAAATAAAAAAATTGAAGAAATAAACAGCATAAAGAAGCAATTATTTTAGTTAAAAATATTATAGATGTGTAGTTTAAAGTAAATATAATATTTATACATTAAGCTACCTATGCATGCTATATTTATTATGCTATACTAATTATATCTAGCTCATTTTTTTTTCTAGGAATGGATTCTCGACTTTATGGCATACGATCATGACAGATATGCTAATGACACGGAATTGTGCAGCTTGAAAGTATCCATGAAGGAAATGAAACACGTTCTACAAAGCCCGGAAATTCATATGTTCAATTTCAGGATGAAACCATCTAATTTGGTATTGCTAAAAAATATATGTATTTTTTTATATATGTATGGTATTGCTAAAAAATATATGTATTGTATATTTCAATTTTTTTTACATATTTAATATAATAATAATATTTTTTTACATATTTTTTACATATTTATATTTAATATAAAAAAAATTAATAAAGAAATAAATAAAGATAATTATAAATAAATTATATTTCTATGTTACAGGAATTTGGAAACATTTTATTAGGTATAAGTTATTTACCTACAGCACAGAGACTAGCTATAAATGTAATGAAAGTACGTGATGTCAAGTTTACACCACCAGCATCGAGTTTAAACAATTTTAGTAAGCACTACATATAATTCACGTTTTCGCATTTTCTCTTCCACTTAAAAAGTTATTTGGAATTTTCAGATTTTTATGTCAGGATATTGATGCTCAATGGACGAACTGGACATCGAATAAAAAAAAAAAAGACTAAATCCGTCATTGCGAATTCACAAACAGAGTTCAACGAAACCTTGACATTTGATGTATTGTATAATCAATTAGACATTGTGCAATTTCTCGTCGTGCTTTGCAGCAAAGTGTGTATTAATTTTAATGATAATTTAAATAACAATGAATGAATTAAAATTTAGAATGATTGAAAAATATTTTAGGCTGCACCTCTTGATATTGTTGCGAGTATTATGGATCATCCGAGTGATAGTGAAGATTCGTTAACATCAATTCAGAAATCAAATAATATTTATGTCGGTAAGGTTGCGTTAGGAAAAGGAGTTAGAGGTTCGACAGAAAGATTACACTGGTTCTCTATACTTCAAAATCCTAGAAAATTAGTTACCGTATGGCATGTTCTAAAATAAATAACTAAATTGCGAATTTAAATTTTTATGAACATGACTACAATAATAAAATTAAAATGAAAATTTGTTTTATTTCTTAAATATCATAATATATAGTTTAGATTGAGTTTTTTTTTTTTGCATATCGCGTGCATTTTATAAATTTCCAAAGTCTAATAATAACTGAAATCTTATCGATATTAAAGGGATAATAGCAGAAATGTAAAAGATAATTCAACGTTATTGCTCAATTTGTATATGAATAACATCATTGTTGATATCATTTGAAAATGATACCATTATTGTTATTGAAATTATAATAAATTTGATAATATTATAAAGTAACATTATGTTTACTTTTAAATATTATTAAATATATTATTAAATAAAACTGTAAAATTCCATAATATATGTTACTATTCCTAGTGAAAAATTTCCGGTCAAAAATAACATGAAATTCTTTATAAATATTCTAGTTTTTGAAATGTAAAATACTATGATATAAATATAAAATATGTATTTATGAAGAAATTCAAATTATTCTTTTAAATATTTATAATTATTTAATATCTTATGATGTTTTTAATTATAACTTTAATGATATCAAAATTATTAATTGTTTTTTTTGTTTTTTTACTTTTTTCTTCTCAATAATAAATAATTTAATTATTCTTATCTATTTGCTTTTGAATCAATTTAATATTTGTATTTTATATTTATATCATAGTATTTTAAAATTCAAAAACTATAGTATTTTTTAAAAAATTTTGAATTTGTTTGAAAACTTTTTATCAGGAAGTATTAGGTTTTTAGTAATAATTAATATTATATACTGAATAATTAATATTATATTTTTTTATAAACATTTTTTTTTGGATAAATTTATTTACAGTTAAACGGTGCCATATATAGGCGATTAATATTTCAAGAAATATATACAATTCAGATCAAAAATAAATTGCAAAAAGTATGAAAATCTTATTCATTCGCTTAGTTTATTTCAAAGTACCTGAATTTTAAATTTTTGTTGATTTAATTATTTTTGATGCTAATTTCAGTACAAATTTTTAATATTCAATATCATATTAGTTTCAAAACATATTAATTTTTAATAAATAGTTTATTGATTCATAAAAATATTGTTATATTTTGGGCAATAATGTTAAATTAAATATTATATGTAAGAATGTATAAAATATATTTCTATATTTATTTCATAATTTAATAATAATATTTGCGTATAAAATCGCAACCAAAGATTATGAAAATTGTAAATTTTATAAATATTGTGGTGTTTTGTTAATATGAATTGTTAATTGAATGTTATTTAAAATTAAATAGAATAAATAATATATATCAATTAATTATATTTATTTAATCGGTATATATATTCTATAATTATGTATAATGAGTTTAATATTTATCTTATCGTTTTAAACTTTCATTTAATTATATAAGAAAACAGAGAGAAAAGAATATATTTAAAATTTGGCGCGATTAAGCATGCTAACTAAATAGTTCCGATATCGTTAGTAGAGGGCAGGAATGTCGCTTTAGTTCGTCTCGTAGCAACGTCGAAGAGAAGTACCCGGCCAGTTAGCTTCAGTCTGTTTTCTGACTTTGTGAGTGTGTTGTGTTCGTCTTCGTCGTGTTCAAATTATTTCGTTATCCCTTTGTCTGTTGTGAGTTTAGTTCTATCCATTGCCTAAAAAAAGTGTATCGTGTACGAAAAACTGGACATTTATCGAATGGTAAGTAATTAAATTATTAAATTATATCAACATCCTGCTCGGTTTCCTGCAAGTCAGAGAGCGTTACGTTGGAAATGTAACCTCCAAAGGCGCTCGAGGTCCTTCCACGTAGAACGATATATATTTGATGTAGCTATCTTTCTCGAATTTTGTTGTCGCGTCGGTATCGCAACGCGTTATCGATGATTTAGTAATATATAATATGATAATAATCAGCAACCGGTTTTATAAATCGCGTAATTTGTGCTTGAAAAGGACGAAATATATACATATATACATACATATATATATATATACATATATAATAACCGTTTCTCGCGGTAATGTCAACCGTTTTTGAAAATCGCCCAATAGCAACGCTTAGATTCTCCGTTTAAGATACTTGAAAATTCTTAATTGTCGAAGGCCATATTTTCCGGAAAAATTAATTCTCTTACGATCAAATTGATGCAACGCTTCGATAACATTGTTTGTAAGCAGAAATTTTCATAATTCACTAAAACCATTTCGTCTTGGAATGATTCGTCTTTTCTATTCATTGTGCTGTGCTATCAGATTATAAAAAAGAATAAATATGTCCATTACTTGCAGTATCAATTTTCAGTTTGATCTGCTGGTCCGTCGGCCACATCGCTACCCTCTGTTCGTTTTACTGTAACTAAAATGAATTTAGAGATGAAGCCGCCCTAGGCGTCGGTTCGTCCATAATCCCTTTTTCTTCTGTTACTTCCCGCCATATCATTTTATGGATTCTTTTCGAAAACATTTCGCAATGGTTTACTGTACGATATTGTGTACACACTTTCGCAGTAATCTTAATCAGGCATTTAAGATTGCTGTCAGTAACGAGACAGTGTCAAGGAAAATTACGACATAATCGGATGCCGTTATCGAAATTGCGTGCAATTAACGTGCTTCTGAATGGTTAGTAAACTTATATTAATTTACTATAACGATTCATGCGTATGATGCATTCTCTATTCGATTACACGGAGATTTACAAATAATATATATGAATATTTAATGTATATAGTTCGTGAATTAATCGTATATAAATACAAGTGTACATTTTTTAAATATCATAAACTATTAAAGCATTAAAAAATATGAAGTGGAACAAAAAATAAACATAGAATCATTTTTTTTTAAATTTATTGTGAATATGAAAAATTATATTGTGTTGTAGTAGGCATTTGATTTTTCATGCATTGCAAATCAAGTTGATTTTATTTATTTATTTTCGAATATAGCTATCGGTTTTTGTTTATATTTATAAAAAAAGAATTAACGATCAAAATTTTTTCAATATACATATTTATATATATATATGTAAATGCATAGTGTGGCAATATACTTTTTACAAATTAATGATTTTTCAATTTCAAAAACGAGATTTTGCGTTCAAATACTTTTATGTATATATTATGCGAAGATCATCTTATAGTTTATGACAAAAAAAATAATTCGTGATTCTCTATATTTTTAAGAGCGTATATAGTTAATACCTGATGAGAATCATTTAGTTTAAGGACACTGTTGACGATTGATGCCGAAGAGTATCGGCCAGGTAACTTGATATTGCATGTACTATAGATATTCGAACGCGGTACATGTTTAAAGACTACTTATATCGTTCCTAGAAATTTACTTAACGATGCTGCAGCAAATTTATACATGCTGCAATTGCAATTGAGTATATGTAGCAGTTAATAAATATATAAATGTATAAATATTTTATCATAGTGTGTTGTTTAATATTTAATATTAATTAATATTTTCTTTGAATTCTTTAAAAAAATTATAATTTAACTTTTACATATTTACACGCTTTCGTAGAATTATATACTTATTTATGAACATACTTTTACTAATTAATGTAAATGTTTGCTAACATACTTCGTATTTAACAATATCTTTTTTTATCAAAATTATTCTAAATTTATTCCAAAAAAAATATAGATATTGGAATATAAATGTATAAATTTGTTATATTTTTCGCTTTTACTACGATGTCAGTATAAATAGTCATATATTTGTATAAATTGATATTTTTATTTGCAATTTAAATTACAAATATATTTCATTTTCCAGTTTTTTCTAATAAACTAAATGATTCATAATAGTATTCAAAATAAGAAATAATATTTGTATAAAATCATATTATATCAACTATGTTAAATAAAATTTGAAATAATTTATTGTTATAAGGATCAAAAATCAAAATTATTGCTGTTCAAAATAATTATTTGAAGAATATTTAACAAGTATTTAAATTATATATTTTTCAATATAAACGTAAAATTAATTAATTAAAATAAATATTTTGTTTATTACAATGTAATATGTAATGAAATATATAAATATCATTATATCATATTATCATTATCGATTTTAATTTTCACATTAAAATTTCAATCACATTAAAATTAAATATTTTAAATATATATTGTTATAAAAAATAATTTCTATACTTCCTATTTGAATTTTTCCATAAAATAATTTGAATTTTTAATTTGGAAATTATTTCTAATGAATGCGATATATTTCACATGCGATTATAACAACGATAATGAAAAATTTGATGAAAAAAAATCAGTAAGTCAAAGATACAAATATATCTTCAAAATAGAAATATTGCATAAAATGTTATTAACAAATTGCATCGAGATATTTTTATACAAAAAGACTAGACTTTTTAGAAATGCATCTTATTTTTTATTTCAAATATTATTATAGAATTATTTGTTATATATTTTACATCAATAAAATAAAACTTTATAATTTAATAATTTTATAGTTACAGGATTACAAAATTTTATAGTAAGAGGATTACAAAAAGAAAAACTCGTCAGTTTTGTGTGGTTAATAATGGAAATTGAATTTGCAAAGAATGATTGACAGTGGTGTCACGCGTGTTTCTGTCCAGAATGCTCGATTTCCCATAGGTTTTTCAGAGCTGCATGCATTTTTTCGGACGACCAGTTAAACTATCCAACAGGCGGTCGTATTTCATTGTCATGCAAATGATTTTTGCGTAATCACGAAAGCGATCCAGACGTGCCCGTTTTGTACACAGATCTGTGTGCCGTACACGTGCATGGGAAAAAGATACCGGAATGTCCACGCGTCCCTCGATCTTTTCTCGGCGTATTTCAATTCTCTGCTTCGCTTCTGGCCACTTTCCTTTTCCTGCTACCACTCGCATCCTAATCCTTCCCCGCCATATTGGCACGTGACTTCCTGGAAAGCAATTGTTTAAATGGCGCACGTTGCAAAAGTTTTTCTTATTATTAATTCTAATTATTCTATTATTTTCTTATTATTTTTCTTATTATTAATTCTAATTATTCTAAATATTTTAATGATATTGTAAGAAGTTACGATGAAATTTCAAGTATTAATTAAACGTTTTTCTCTTCTACTATTCTTTGATTGAAATGTATTTTGATGAAAGGAAATGGAAAAAAAAAGGGAATATGTTGAAGAATATATTAATATTTATATATAAGATTTGATAATTATTAATAAAATTTAGTTTTATAGATTTTTTGTACAAAGATTATCAGTTTTATACAATTCTAACAGTAATTAATTATGAATATTTTAAAATATTATAATTATATTTATTCAATATTTAATTATATTTAATTATTATAATATTTAATTATATTTATTCAGTAAAAAATGTAAAAAATATTTATTATATATTTAAACTTTATAAAAAGTTTATATAAAGTTTTTTATAGAAAATATCTAGTAAAAAATATTTAATTTTTTATAAAAACATGAATGAAAATATTTAAAATAATAGAAATAAATAAACAATAAATATTCATATAACTATTTTTCGTTATTTGTGATATAAATTTTTTAATTTAAACATTTAATTTAATTCCAATAAGAAGCAAAAATTTAAAATATAGTGATATATGCGCAATATATAAATACATATTATATTTATTTGTACATATATATATATATATATGCCAAACCAAAAATATACAATAAATAATAATAAAACATGTTCCCTTTTTTGTTACTACAAGTCAGTGATCTTTTGTATATCTCTATCTTTTTATATTATATTATTTTTTTTATATTATTTTCATATTATATAATATGATATTTTCTTTCTTTATTATAAAATTTATTATATTTTTTCTTTTATTATAAAATTTAAATTATAAAATTTATATTATAAATTCAATGAAATGTGACTATATGAATATATATATATTTTTTGCTATTTTCATTTATGTTTATTAGAAATGAATCGAAATCTGATTTTTTAATCAGAAATTTGATGCAATTTTGAACCTTTTAAAATTTAAAAAATACATATTTTTTTTATATTTTCTGTTTTCCTCTTTAACTATTTTGTAAAAAATATAAATCTTAGCAAATTTGGATTTTTGAAATTTTTACAATAATCTTCTAATTAAAAAATTTTTTAAATTATTTCACCTATATTTTTTTATGGATTCTTATTAATGAAAATTAAAATCTAAAATTTAAACACAAATGCAATTATTTATATAAAATGTTTTAGTCAAAAATTGAAAATTTAAAAATTTCTTATTTTTTTTTTTAATATTTTTTACAAAAGTTTAAAAATATATATATATTTAATTATATATGTATTATTTAATAAATTTAATTATACAATAATCAGTTAATATCATAATTAATCAATTGATGCAAATAGTTTCTATATTCACTGTCCTGAATCTGAATCAAAGAAAGTTAAATTGAGAATAAATAGGAAGAAAAAGTTTTCAAAGTTAGGGAAAATTTATTGAATCTGAAGTTCCTTAACTCAAACTGGAGCAACTTTTCAATTCGTATTTAAAGTTGTTCGATTCTCGATTAGTCTTCTAACGAAGTCTTATAGTTTGTTAAATGAAAAAAGTTGTCGTTTCTGTTTAGCCTATGTTCTATTCGATAAACATATGGCATAAAGGAAAGCGAGTGGGAATACTCCCATAGGGATATCAGCTGTT